AACATGTACGCAAGCGCGTCTTTTGATTTCAACCAATAAGCGCCGACGCAACGACGTCTCACACACCCGACGTCACACACAACAGCTAAGCTAAGCTAGCCGAGACAACACTCGAAGTCGGACGGACACGTTTTTCTGCCAATCTGTGTTCCCTTTTTGTCCAAATATATTTTTTACGACAACTGTCTTGTCGACGGTGTCTTTTATTCGTTCCACTGGGGTTTAGCAAATGTGTTGATAAAGAGACGAAAATCTCTGCTGTTACTTGTGTTAGTGTCTCAATATGGCTACGCTCGTTAAAGCAAAACAACGAACTCAAACGCGTCTTCGTTCAATGTTGTCAACTAATATCCGGATTAATTTTAGGCAAATTTTCCTCAATTCTCCGGAGAGATTTTCATAAAAATGTGAAAAACCCGGAATTCCGGGAAAATCCAGAGGACTTTCATCTCTGAAATTGTAAACAATGCCCTGAGAAACCGAATGAGTAAGGCCACTCAACTCCAGGCACGTTTAAGGGGGATGAAATGCCCCATTAATATCAGCATGGTCTGCGTGCTCGACGACCTGCAAGAGTACCTGACCACACCACCAGGCACTGATGACATTGTCTTGCGTGGGCTAGGGAGCAGTTATGCTGGACGAGGGACCAGTGGGCCTCAGTGCTGGTCTCTGATGAAAGTTAATTCAGGTTGAATAGAAATGATGGCTGCCAACAATGTTGTAGACATCAAGGAGAGCGCTTACGCTTCAGTCAGTGTTGTCACCAGACGACCTTTGGGTGGTGGCGGTGTTACAGTGTGGGCAGGTGTCTCCAGTCTGGACAGAACTGCCCTACACTTTGTGACAAGCCCCTACTACCTGAATAACATTATTAATCCAGTGATTGTGCCCATACATGAACAACACGGGCCTAATTTCATTTTCCTGGATGACAATGCTCCAGCTCATCAAGGTCGCATCATCAGGGAACAACTGTTGGAGACTGTTGTACCTCAAATGGAATGGCCTGCACGTTCTCCCGACCTGAATCCTATTGAAAACGTGTGGGATCAGCTTAGTCGCCATATTGAGGCTCGAACCGCTGCGCTCCAGAACCTCAATAACCTGAGAGCAGTAAGTGAACTTGTGAACAGCGTGAGACTTTGTCAAGCTGTATTTGATGCTCAAGGGCACATGATGAGTTTTTGAGATGTAGACATTTTTTGTTGTGGTGTACTCACCATTGTTGTTAATTTTTGTTTCCATTAATCTTTAAGATGAGGAAATTACCAGTGTATCCTTCTACTTAAATGTCCTACTTTCATAACATGATATCAGTGTAGCATGAACTTTTTACATTTTTCATAAAGCTCACCTGTAAGCCAACTATACAACTTTTTGTGAGTAGTGTATTTCATGAATTTAGTTGATATTTTTTATGTACTTTGGAAAACGTTTTATTTAAACGTTTTTCAAGTTTTCTTTTAAAACAAAACAAAAAAAAAGTAGAAAAATGAAAAATGTCAGCGCAGCTCACAGTTTATCAAGGAATGTTTTTCATAAAGTTGGTCATAAAGTATGTGTGTAACTATACATCTATTTATTTGATGTATCAATGTGTCTGCCGTGCGATCCAACTACATCGAACTCGCTGGACAAGTTTACATCGATGCTGGCTACACATCGACATGATAATTAGTTATCAAGTTATTGAAATGAATAAGATTGAATCAATTCCATTAACAAAATAATTTGATGTTAAAAATAAATTGACAATATTCTTTTTTTTCAATTCCGTTTTTAATGTTATTTTTAAAATGTCATATTGGGCAGCACCTGGGAATTACGTCAACCATTCAACATAAAGATCACAACAGATCAACATAGATCATCACTATTCGTTGGCTGGCCCAGCCCCTATCCCCCTATGAGTGCCAATTAAATCGATATATATTGCCAAGCCTCGATGAATGAATGGATAGATGGATGGATCACATCAAAATGAAAATGTTGGGTATAAGAATCACAAGTAGACCAACTAACCCTGTATTCACTGTTTGCTGCTGAAACAACCCAGAGGTTATTTGGAACTCCCATTCTTTTGTAGTCGGCCATGAGGTCTATGAAGCTCCATGACTCTTGCCTCTCCTCCTTGTTAATGTTGGGGTTGAAGGACAGACAGTACAGCTCACTGTACTTCTCTAAAAATAGAAGAGCCAGCAAAAAAAAAAAGGATGAAATGCTATGTTTTTTATTATTCAACATGCTATAAAATAATCCACTGTATGTGGCAGAGAACATAAACCAAACATGAAAAACAGGTTAGCGGGTTTCCTGTGTATGCTGCAATAACGAGCAACACAACGGGTTGATGACATGATTGTTGAAGCCTAACTACACAAAAACAAACAAATAAGTCTTTTTGGCTGGTGTCAGCAGGCACAAGTTAAATATATCAATATAATTTATTTATACAAATACATGTAAACACGAAGGAAGCCTAAACAGCTATTGTCATCTTGTGTTTAAAAAGAAAAAAAATACAATGTAGATACAGATGCACAATAACTAATTGGGCTGATAATTATCGATCCAATTTTGGGATAAAAATGACCTCACTTTTATCGGTCTGATAGCAATAAATTAGGCCGACATTGAAACCGGCCTCAAATCCACTAAAGTTGGTGCAGTTATTGTCACTTTAAGAGTCAAAACCTCTGCTGCATATGACATAGGAGGTAATACGGCGTCGCTGCGCGGAACTTCACAAATAACAGTGAGCAGTGTTAACACGGCTTTTAGTTTTACTGGAGCTGTTAATCTGAATCAGGGATCAAGTCTGTGTCCAAATTTCATGGTATGGCGACTGATTAAAATGATTTTTTACATGAACAACCAACCGAAGTCTCCTCAACTCTAAAAACAATATTTATTATAAATATTGATACTTAGGGTAAAAATTTTCATGAGCGTAGGCACCGCATGCTGGGTCCCATTCACTTGAATGAGAGCCACAGCCGAGGCTCCCTCAGCGCCAGTCGTCCCGAAAGCATTCGAAAGCCTGTTTCGGATGCCATATAATGATGATGGCCGTGCCTTTTCTGTTTTAACTGTACTTTTACCTTCGTTGCTACATACTATAACTGTGTGGCCTTAATCAACATTGGATTACAGTACAAAGCGACTTCTAGCAAATTTTCACAGCATTTTCAACATGCCAGACGAGACAAGGCGTTATACCAGCAAGACCTCCATGGATAGTTGCTGGGTTTGGCAGGCGCCATAGGCAGCAGAGGCAACCTAACCAAAAGCGGCTTAAAGCAGCTTATTAAACAAGCAATGGCTAAGCTAATTGCTAACAGTGAGGACAAGTGGTTCAGAAAATGGATGGATGGATAGCAAATGACACTGCACTGTGTCCAACTGTACTTGTTGGAATACAAACGGCCATAGCTCATTGAAGTTGAGCTATGGTGAGGGATATTTTTTTAATCATGTTTTTGTTCTTGGCCCTCTTAAATGTCGTCATATAAAAATGGCCAGTAGCAATAAAATGTTTGGGGTCCTGCCTTTATTGAAAAATATGTGTGTGCCCATGTATGTGTGCAATGGGTATTGTTGAAATGTCACTACTAAGTGAATAATTTTGTGAGTGATTCATTCCTTGAAATAGTACTATTAAATATCCATAAAACACCATGGGTGATAGCAAAATAAAAACCAACTTTATTAATAGGTACTGCTACGCATCACAGCTTTTGAAATTGATTCATCGCCTCAACATCAAGTAGCAAAACGTGACTATACGTTGTCGCCGACCACTTTTTATATACTGCATCATCCTCTGACCCCGCTACATCAGTGTGAAGAGGGGTTGAAATATTTTATTAAGCTGCAACAACTGATATATTTGGAATACACAAAAAGACAACTTTTATCAGTCCAAAGTACTTGGCAGCTGTCTACAACAGCTCTTGAAGAGCTCAACTTTTTTAAATTGTTTTTGTTTTTTGTTTAGTCATATTGTGTTTGTTGTCCTTCGTTTGGACCTGTTGTGGACTTTTTTTTTAGCATTTTGGCCACGCCATTCGTTCAAGGAGAAGAATCTGTATTTGATTGTTGTGCCTTCTTTGCAACACACGTGTACCAGCACTACTTTTGATGGGGTGAAATGTCGGCACTATTTGACGGTCGCCGCTGGATAGCCCCGAGGGCGCTTGTGTTTTTTGCGCCTGACCTGGGCAGCATTTTTCACAGTGCCGTTTTGTTCAGCGGAGATGGCGGGGCTGTTGGACAGTATGCGTTGGTGCGGCTGGATGGATGGCTTGTGGAGCATAGGATGAGGAGAGAGGAGCGTCGGCGCGAAGCGCAGATACGTAACTGGAACTGAGAGTCGGCATTTGGAGATGAAGCCGATTTATATGGGACAGGGGAAGTAAACCAATTTTTTTTTTTTTTTTTTTTTTTTTTTTTTTTTTATCAATGGACGCTACAGCTTCTTCTTTACTTTCAAACTTAAGCTTCTTGCAGGCGTGTGCACATTTTGAGCAGGACGTCTCTGATCCACTGGTGAACGGACACTTTGATTCTCTCCTCTTTCATCTAGAACTGCTTCTAATAAGCATATGCAAGAAAAGTGGTTAAGATTGCATGACTGTCCGCATCTTGTTATATTATTTTGTTATTTTACATTAACTGTTCTTTAAAGCACTTTGCTACATCTGCAGCTGTTGTCAAAGCGCTATGTAAATAAAGATATATTGTACTGCATTGTAATATACAAAAATAAAGTTAACGTTTATCAGTATCGGTTTGGAGAGGTAGGATGTTATCGGTTATTGGTATCGTAGAAAAAAACATTTATCCTGCATCCCAAATTGTGGACATTTAAGGTTACCATGGGTGGTATGTCACGGTCCCCTTCGCCATTCACCTGGATGAGGAGGAAGTGCTTTTGCCCGCCTTACCGAATGGGGAAGTGGGTTGCGCACATATCAGATAGTGTAAAAGACACACAGTTAGCCCTTAAAACACACAAACCTGGTCGTGACAACCTCAATAATGAGGTGTGGACATCAAAACAATCTTTCTCCTGTTGCATGAGAATCTGGATGACCCTGAAATCTTTGCAACGTAAGATCAGCTGACTACCAGTGGGTGTGGTGGGCAACCTCTCCACACTGCTTATCATGCTGTGTAAGAGCTGAAACACAAGACACATTTTAAAACTACAATTCATAGAATGAAAAGATGAAATCTATCCTTTGGAAATTTCAAATGTTTCCAGAAAAAATTAGCTTTCTTCTACACATTAGATCTTGATGGTGATCATTATGGGATGGAGGAGCAGTATATTTCGTTTGGAGTAGAGTCTGACCACAATGGGATTTTTTTGGGCAGATATCAATTCTGGGGGCAATAAATAAATAAATTAATAAATAAAGCTACTAGCCAATAAATCGGCGGTTGTTAGATATATCAGTCAATATATGTAATCAGAACATGGATATCCACAAAATGTGAAGCCAAGTTGCAACCTGTATAGTAGTCATTTATGAACGTTGGACAAGGGACTAACTATGTGAGAGACATGACAGTCCAAGAATTTTGTGGTCATACAGTTTACAAAAGGAGTCGTTATTGTATTGCTGTGTCCAAACACACCCACATACATTATTTTATTTGTTTTTTACAAGGGTTTATGTTCTATTGTCAAATACTGATCTTTCTGAATACGAATGCAATTCTAATTAAGTTGGGACGTTCAATTAAACATAAAAAAAAAAACAATATGATTTGCAAATCATGTTCAACCTATATTTGCTATATTATATTTGTGCTGCAAGAAGGAGAGGTACCGCCGCTCGTTCCTGTCGACCGCTGTCAGGCTATTGAATAGACAGACCTGAAAACCTGGACTCACCCCCACTCACCCATTTTTAATATGCTTATCTTTATTTTTTTTATATTTATTTATATACTTTTTATTCTTGTACTTCTCCCTTTCATAATTTTGCTGCTGTAAATTGGGAATTTCTCCATTGTGAGACAAACAAAGGTTTTCTGATCTTATCTTATATAACTGAATACAGATGCTCCCCAGGTAACGAACAAGATACTTTCCGAAGGATTGTTCGCTGGCTGAATTCGTACGTAAGTTGCTTCAGTGCTATATTTTGTATGGAATGTATGTTTAAGGCTTATATAAGTATGTTTAAGGCTTATATAAGTGTAATAAAATGAAGTTTAACATACTTTTGGAAGATGTACTCGAAGGCTTAAGGAGATGATGGAGGGGGAGAGAGTTCTGTCTCGAACTTCTTCATGGGGACAAGCGTTTCCTCCTCCTCCTCTCACAGCGCCTCACGTCGGTATTAGCGGCGGAAAGAAGTACTACAGTACTCGGAAAAAGGCGCGCAATACAAAATCTGACTGACAGCATCTCTGTCCGAGAACATTTTTCGACATACCTGTACCCGCAAAAATGTTCGTATGTACCGTTGTTCGCAACACGAAAGTTCATAAAGCGGGGAGCGCCTGTACACTACAAAGACAAGATAAAATGTTCAAACTGATAAACTTTATTGTTATTAGCAAATAATCATTGGCATCACATGACTTTTTCTTTGAACAACATTCAAAAAACATTTTGTAACTTACTCAGTTCCACAAATTGTTTCAGCTTTGGAGGTGTAATCCTTTTCCATTTTTGCGTGATGTACAGCTTTAGCTGTTCAACAGTCCGGGGTCTCCTTTGTTGTATTTTACCACACATTTTCAATGGGAGACAGGTCTTGACTGCAGGCAAGCCAGTCTTCCATTGAAACTGTGGTGCATTATGAAGCATAAAATATGACAATGCAGACATTAAATGTCTTGTCTTTATAGTGTAATTAAGTAAATACTGTTTAGGTTAAACATGATTTGCAAATCGTTGTTTTCTGCTTTTATTTATTTTTAACAGGTCCCAACTTAATTGGAATTGGGTTTATATTATAATTTCATATTTCTTTGCCTCATTCACAAGGCATGTACCTACAGTACATGCACTGAAAGGCCCACCGGCTGACCATGCCAGAATTAAACTGAGAGTGAAAGAATTGGGAATAGTGTACTCAGCGTCTACCTCACCGTAGACGCTGTCAATATGTCATGGATTAGATGATGTTATTGCAGTTAATGAAGACCAGCATACGGCTTCCTACTTACCCATGTCTCCTTGCGTGTCTCAGTGTTGTTCTCAATAAACATAGAATGTGTAGCTGAAAGGTAGAACGTCCCAACACTGGCCTTTCTCTGGCCCTTCGACCGGTCCAGGAGACGCACATTTTCCACCTTACACACACACACACACACACACACACACACACACACACACACACACACACACACACACACACACATACAAAAATGTCAGGGATACAGCATTTGTATGATGGAATACCTTGCAACCACCATTATCTTCCTGAATTGTTTCATCTTATTAAATGGATTTTTACATCATTCATTAAGATTGTACAGTAACATTTTGAGTTAAATGTTGCCCACTTGGCATTCTTTGCAGCCTGGTCTTCTTAGAAAGGGAATTCCATCATCTGCAGCCCCTTCTCGAGGTTTATTTTTCCCTAGAAGTGTTCGTTTTTTTGTTTGTTTTTTTCCCCTTGGCCTCCAGTGGGGTTAAGATCAGGGGATGTCATTAAAAACGGTGAGCATATAAAGCCCTTTGAGACTCTGGTGATTAAAGGCTATAAAAATACATTTGACTTGGCTTGACAATTTAGCAGAAATAAACGTGTCTATTTAACAAAACAAAAATTAACACGTCTGAATCTTTAGGCAGAAAAAATGTTCTGTAAATGTCTGAGTTTTCTTGAGTTTTATTCCCATGAAGCACTGATAAGGATAATTTCTTAGTTCTTTATAATAGGTATCCTTTGACGATGTGGTGAGACGACGAACAGGGTGAAAATGGTTCGGAGTAAAATGCAGCGTCACGGTTGGCAGATGCCCGAAGACTGCAGGGACGTAGCCATAATGGGGGATTTTAATGGACGAAAAAAGACATTCACGTTGATAATTGTTGCAAGAAAAATCAATCAACGTACAATGTCTTTATAAGTTAGTATTACGTACATCCCGATTTTTTTTTTTTTTTTTACGAAATCCATTTCATTATCGGACACACCATTGGGGTGTGTGCGGATAGGGTGGGCGATTATTAGGATTGCTCGGATCACATAGAAGAGAAGTGCCATCCTAAAAAAAAAAAAAAAACCTAATAGGCCGTTTGCAGAACTGCACGTCCGCACAGTGAAACCATTGAGCCTGATGCTGCTCGGATACTTGTACCTGCCAACCGGTAACGTTAGTCAATTTAAGAAGCATGGCCACAGATGATGATAATAAACACAAAGTAAGAAAATAAGGAACCGGAAAATCTCGGCATCATCACCATGTAGTTGTTAAAATTTCAAAGATACCTTGGGCGTCCGGATGTGCTCCATCACTGACAACCAAAATGGTGGAGAGAAGTCGGAGACAGCCGCGTCTTCTTTTTATCGTCTGTGATGTTAGAATCTCCGTTTTACGTCAAGTGCTCTGCATTCCATGTGGCTGTTGTTCGGACAATATTCTTATATAGGTCACATAGTTTTCTTTTCTACAGCATGTTCGTCACGACGAAAGAGACCAGACCTGCCACAGCACTCAATTCGCGGTCTTGAAGCTAACCACCTTGCTCCAGTCGTGCTATCCCACTCTGCCCGTACGGCTGCATCTGCCACAGACATGTTAGAGCGCCTTGAGAGGATTGACTCGTTGCTGCGGCACGTGAGAGTCTCCGCCATATTCTATGTGGCAGATCTGCCCTTCAACAATAGTAATGCAAGTACATAGATTGCTCTTTAGAAAGCGAGAACCTACACAGTACACAAGGTTCATGGGTCTCAGTGTCTCACTCTCTCACTCACTCACTACGTCTGTATTTATATAAAATATAAAGATATAAGTAAGTAAGATATCCTTTATTTGTCCCACACTGGGGAAATTTAAAGTGTACAGCAGCAAAATTGCGGGGTAGAAAGAAGAAAAAACAGTGTTTGCATGCACAGAAGTAAATGTTTCAGAAGAGAGTTGTACACAGTTCAGTTTTTGTCAAACTTTTTTTTGTTTTAAACAGAAATTGTACTGCCATATAAATCTATAACATGATACACATAAAACAAACTGGACAGCTCCCCTTGAACAAGGAACGTGTAACAAAACACACAAAAAAATGAATACACAAAGACAAAAACAAAAAAAGAAAAATTCCTCAAATCACGTTAAAATTATATGAAGAATATGAAGAAACAACCTTTTTAAATTCCACACACACTGAATCGTATGCAAAAAAAGTGAAAATTACCAACCAGAGAGAGAGAGAGAGAGCGAGAGAGAGAGAGAGCGAGAGAGAGAGAGAGCGAGAGAGAGAGAGAGCGAGAGAGAGAGAGAGCGAGAGAGAGAGAGAGCGAGAGAGAGAGAGAGCGAGAGAGAGAGAGAGCGAGAGAGAGAGAGAGCGAGAGAGAGAGAGAGCGAGAGAGAGAGAGAGCGAGAGAGAGAGAGAGCGAGAGAGAGAGAGAGAAAGATCTTCTGATTACTTCTTACATGTTTAGGATAAATGTTAACAGGTTAAGAATGGGTGGATAGTTTTCTTCCTCTTTGTGGTCAATAGTTGTGTCTTGTCTGAAAAGACATGAGCACATTGTCAGCTGAGATGACCGCCAATTAACCATTTTGCACAACCCAAAGTTAAAAAAAAGTCAGAGGGGAAGTCAACCCAAACGTTTCCTTTCCAACAATATGTTCTATGGAGCCCAACTAGTTGAAATACAGCATTGTGATTATCATTGCATTTGTGGAACATGATTTATCGTAAGCGGGAAAATCCACTCGCTTTTGTCCATCCCAGGGGGCTACCATTTTGGCAGTTGCTGTTTACCGAAAATGTCATCACCATTGTTCAGGGCTCAGGTCACCACCAATCAAAATCACAGTACCGACAACGTCACCAGCACAAAACTGACAAAGGTTGCTGGTAACTTTAAGCGCCAGGATAAAACATTATGAAAACAAATTGCTTGCAATTGGCAAGGAGAACCTGGAATAAAAATAGTATTCCAGTTGTTAGTTCCGCCCTCTGATGGAGAAGATAATTGCAATGTGACAATTTAACCTGTGTGACAATAAGACGCAGTCTCCCTCGAATATTTATTTTAAAAACAAAATATGTACTTCCTTCCCTTTACGATGTCGAATTAGGCTCGTTACTTTTTTCAGACACTGCAGATTACACCAGAATGTAAAAAGTAAAAATATAAATAATGTTTTTGGAAAGTGGCTTGAAATATGCAAACTATCAGAAAGTACATCCAGCAAAAACATTAAGGGATCCAGGGATGGGTCACGTGACAAGGATTTTCTAATATTCCTTTATCATCAGTCTAAAACGCTTGTATGATGAAGAAAATGTGGGTTTGATCACCTACAAGACCATAATTCTTCCAGCATTTGTTACTAACCCCACTTTTAAACGGAGAACGCCTTTATAGGGTCCTAAAAAAATTGTATCTTAGCTTTCCAGTCAAACTCCTTCCACAGTTCACATCCCTGCCCCATATGACTGCCACAGCAGACATCCCAGATATCATCATCCAACGTCACATTAATGTCTAGCTCCCATTGTCTTTTTATGTGTTGTGTGTTATCTGATGTGTCACTCAACAATTTCTAATACATCAAGTGCACTTGTTTTTTCAGTACACTCTCATTCTGAATCCATCCATTCATCCATTTTCCAATCCGCATATCCTCATGGGGGCATGCCATAGCCTATCCCAGGCGTCATCGGGTAGGAGACGGGGTACACCATGAACTGATTGCCAGCCAATCGCACAGCACACATGGACGAACAAGCATTCGCACTCACAGTCACGCCGAGGTACAATTTAATGTGTTCCATTAACCTATGGTGCATGTTTTTGAAATGTGGAAGGAACCCGGAGCACCTGGAGAAAACCCATGCCGCACGGGGGAGAATATGCCGGAGCCGGAATCGAACCCTGGACCTCTGCACTCGGCGTGCTAACCAGTTGTCCACCGTGCTGCCCTCATTGTGAATCAAGCGTATGAAATGCTTTTCTACTGTATATGTGTTGGCTTCCTTCTGATATGAACTCATTCACTATGTTTTGTTGTATAATTTCTTATTTATATAATGATCCTGTTTGTGGATTTCAGCTCTGCGTTCAACACCATCATCCCGGAGCTCCTCACCCCCAAACTTCTCCAGCTCGGTGTGTCCCCTACGATCTGCCAGTGGATCCTCAGCTTCCTGACGGGACGGACACAACAGGTGAGACTGGGAAGAACAACATCATCAACACACACCACTAGCACTGGAGCCCCACAGGGATGTGTCCTCTCTCCACTGCTCTTCTCCCTCTACACAAACGATTGCACCTCAATAAGTCCAGCTGTCAAACTCATAAAGTTCGCAGACGACACCACGGTCATCGGTCTCATCAAAGATGGCGACGAGTCTGTGTACCGACAACAAGTGGAGCAGCTGGAGCTCTGGTGCAACCGACACAACCTCGGGCTGAACACGCTCAAGACTGTAGAGATGATCGTGGACTGCAGGAAACATCCTTCACCACAGTTGCCCCTCACAATATCCAACTGCCCTGTGTCAACCGTCGAGACCTTCAAGTTCCTGGGAATCACAGTCTCCCAGGACATGAAGTGGGAAGTCAACACCATCTCCATCCTGAAAAGGGCCCAGCAGAAGATGTACTTCCTGAGGCTACTGAGGAAGCATGGTCTGCCACAGGAGGTGCTACGTCAGTTCTACACGGCAGTCATCGAATCAATCCTGTGTTCTTCCATCACGGTTTGGTTTGGGGCCGCCACAAAAAAGGACAAAATCCGACTTCAACGGACAGTTAGGACGGCGGAAAAAAATCATTGGCACCGCCCTACCCACTCTTGAGGACTTGCACACTGCTAGAATCAAAACAAGTGCACGGAAAATCCTCCTGGATCCCCCGCACCCTGCCCACCACCTTTTCCAGCTACTCCCCTCAGGCAGGCGCTACAGATCCATGTGCACCAAATCCAGCAGACACTTAAACAGCTTTTTCCCTCGAGCCATTAACTCCCTAAACAGTCACCGACGTAGTCACTCTTCTTGTACAACAAATACTGCTACTGGTCTCTAAAATAGTTCAATGATTTTCTGCACCAACTGTACAACTGTCATAGTATTGTATTCTACCACTAGTCACTTTAGCTCTGCTTGATACTTTGCACATTGTCTCACAGTTGTCACTGGGTGGTACCACCGCACTACGGTTCACTTACATTACGAAATGTCCTTCCATACCTATTTGTCATGTCCTTGTTTATGATGATGCCAATGCAGCGTGTTATACCGGAGACAAATTCCTTGTGTGTTCTACATACTTGGCCAATAAAGATGATTCTGATTCTGATTTTTAAGTACCTACAGTGATCCTTGAGGGTAGGTTAAAATTGCTGGTTAGTTGGGCAAAACGTTTCACATTTCCTTCAAATAACTGATTCAAATTGCTCAGGTTTTAGGCACAGTCGCTGATGGTGTAGCAGGGTACTCACCTGACTTGTGTGTGGGCAGCGTGGGATCGGATCCCACTCAATGACGGTGTGGATGCGGGTGTGAATGGTTGTTTCTCTCTATATGTGCTCTGTGACTGGCTGATGACTAGTTCAGGGTGTAGTCTGTCTTCTGCCCAAAGTCAGCTGGGATCGACTCCGCCAACTCCCAGAAACCCTCTTAATTTTAAGATTAAGTGGTGTTGAAAATGGATGGATGGATGGATTTTAGGGCCACCTGTTAAAAGCCCTGTCTACTAGAGACAGACAGAACTTAATAATCCCACACATGGATATGGCTAGGCTGAATTTCAATTTTGAAATAATGAGTGATTTTTGTATTTTTAATATCTGTTTCCAAAGGTAATACCCAAAGACCAAAAGAGACACTGGCCCAGGCACAGAACAAACATGCAAGCAGGGATTGAATTAGAACACAATGGTTATTAGATATTTTTAATTCTTTTTTAATTTAAATAAATCAGTAATATTTTAATTTGTAAAATAAAATGATGGCTGCGACTTAACTGAGCCTACGCAGATTTCTGTTGGGGTTTAGCATCCTCCACAGGAATAGTTCATGGGTTCAGCTGTCCCTGTTTGTGCCACGTCAACGTCACTCTTCAACCTTTAGATGGCAGTGTTACAAAAGAAAAATATTTACTGGTTTGAAATCCCAAACAATCTAAAGTACTTGTGCTCATTAGGAACCCAGTGTAATTTGATGAAAGAGGTGGGGGAAAAATGAACTTAATATTTTTATTTAAACATGCAGCAAAATTTCCCAGTACTGACACTGTATTATAGTTCCCAAGTTTAGCGAGTACAGCGTGTGTAGGACATCTCAGCACTACGATTTGTTCACAATCGGGGACGGTTCCAGGATTTTTTCTCTCCTGGGGCTAAAGGGGGCGGGAGGGTTGACTGATACATAGGGGGCGAGGGGTGTGTGTGTGTGTGTGTGTGTGTGTGTGTGTGTGTGTGTGTGTGTGTGTGTGTGTGTGTCAAAAATCATCTATAAATATAATTTGGAATATCCAATAAAATGCTGGAGGGACTTAACAGGGGCCACTCATATTTCTGACAAGCAGGAGCGGCAAG